TCATATATATCTATGTTATATGGAGAGTCATATTTATTTGCGTACGTGTACATTTATGTCTCTTATGTATGTATATCGTCATGTGGTCGTTGGTGTATTTGATATGCCGGACTTCTCGCCTTTGATTTAAAGTCCGCCAGCATACATATATAGATATATAATTATGCACACGCCTTTTATTAAGATTGAAGTCTACTTGCAGTAGATGCTAATACTATGTCTGCTGTAGAATATGCGGCATCACTATTACAGTATTAAATTAATTCTTTTACTTAGATGTAAGAATGTTATGGCTGACGACCACGAAAAGAGTGTTATTGGCGGTGCGGAGGCGTAATGCAATTGATTTCAGTGTGCTGCTTTGGTCATGTCATGAGTGATCTATTTGAGGGGTTGTCTATTCTTTCATTCGGATTGTAGGATGTGTTGCTCGCTTGCCGTTCTGTCAGTAGGTTTCAGGGTTTTAGGGGTCCATGGTTTTAGTGTTTTAGGGTTTCATGGTTTTAGGGTTTTAGGGTTTTGCAGCAATCTGGTGCGGATCGATACGTGACTACCTTGTTCAGTTCACTTGTCATGTTCTTCTCATGTCATCACTTCAACTTACAATAACTGCAGGTTATATGGCACGACTTTGACGGTGAGAACTGGGAGGAGTCCATCAAGGGGTCCTCGGTTAGCAAATAGCACTGATGAATTCATCGTAAGTCAGATAGGGACAGTACACACATCCCGATCCGGTGGAGTCGGGTTTTAGTTTCAGTAGACAAAAATGGCTTGTACCCGTTGACATACGTAGATAAATCTATGCGCAACAAACCTCTCTGACCATCAATGATTCCAGTATAGTCCTATATGCAAATGACTTTGTTCTTTACCAGAGTCGGTATGTTTGGTCCTCATACCCTTAATAAACTGCAGAGCAATGTCGCATTCTCTTACTTACCCGAAGAGCCAGTTGTTCTCCTTTGTTAATAAGCATAGTTTTATTGTTTATTTCCCCTTCGAGGGATCACGTAGATTACCTCGCGATCATACTGAGTATACTGACATTACCAGGTCCACCCTAGGAGCCGATGTTGTCTGGCACTTACGAGACGGAACTTCATTGGAGTAGTTTAAGTTACAACGTTCAGCTTATTATGCACAACAACCTTTCGCTAAAGCGTGCCAGAGATCTCGCGCAGGCTGCAAAGGGGCTGGGAGAAAAACATCTCCAGATGTCATTCTCTCTGTTTTGACAGGACACTTTGGACTGACCGATTCCAATGTCATTTTGTTATCCGATCTCGATCAGATACCCAATCCGTTGTATCTCGACGAGAGATTGTGCCCGAAACGCCCCAGGCTTATAAGGCACGATGTTTATTCATGTACATATATCTCAATACAGATAATGTCCATTCTTAGTTTTAGGTTTTGGCAGCCTTCCACTTCTCCAGTAGAGCGTCCGCCTGTTTCTTTTCCTGCTCGATCTTCTTTAGCCCTTTATTGGCATCTGGATTCGCACAACAAACCGTGCGAAGGAATAATCATGTTAATGATAAATACATAAAAACGCACTTGCTTCCACATATACATATAAATAATTATCAACTCTGAGTATGTGCATGTTAATTTGTTTTGAAACATGTGTATTGGTGCTGTGAGTACTAAACATTTATGCATAAAGCAGAGCTCTGTAGAATGTCGTACACGCATCTAACTATAAACATAAACACACTCGCTCCTAGGGTTGGGTTAGTTGAGCCCCAGTTTGAAGCAATACGGACCGGAACTGGACTGGTTGAGAGGCCTGGGCATACACCGGTAAATCGTGGGCGTATAGGTATCAGGATATACCTACATGCAGTTTCCGTACATGACTTAGCATGCACATTATGAATACCAGAGAAAATATAAACGTCTAAGAATCGTGCTCGATAAGACAGTATATATACAGAATACTTTGTCATCCGCCTGAATATAACGCGTACTACTGGTCCCAAGAATACGCTATACCCATTAAACAACACAACCATAACGATACAGATCAATATCTGGACACTAAAAGAATATTTTGATACGGTGATGTTTGCGTGTAAATATAAAGTCTTTGAACTAAAGGCGTGTACGCGATAAACAAGGTTGATTGAAATATCAAAAAGGTCACTCCCGAAGAATTCAAGTTTAACTTGTGCACTCCAGTGAGAGATTATCAGA